AGGATTACAGGCATGAGCCACCGCGCCCAGCTGGATATACTATTTTTTGTTTATCTATTCATCTGCTGATGGACATTTGAGTTGTTTCCACTGTTTGACTATTGTGAATGATGCTGCTATGAACATTCTTGTACAAGCCTTTGTTTGAACACATATTTTTAATTCTTTTGGGTATATAACTAGGGGTAGAATTGCTGGATCTTATGGTAATTCTATATTCACTCTATTGAGGAATTACCAAACTGTCTTCTATAGAAGCTGCACCATTGTACATTCCCCCCAGCAATGTATCCTTACCAATACTTGTTATTTACCTGGGTTTTGTTTTGTTTTGTTTTTTAAGAGATAGGATCTCACTACCTGTTGCCCAGGCTGAAGTGCAGTGTCTCCTCTGCACATCACACACTGCAGCTTCCAACTCCTGGCCTCAAGCAATCCTTCTACCTCCACCTCCCAAGTAGCTTAGACTATAGGTATGCTCCTTGCCTGACTTCCGTTTTTGTTTTTTTTTTAATTATAACAATCCTAGTGGGTCTGAAGTAGTATCTCAGCGGGAGTTTTGATTTGCATTTCCTTAATGATATTGAGTGTCTTTTCATTTGCTTATCATCCATTTGTATATATTCTTTGGAGAAATGTCTATTCAAATCCTTCACTCATTTTTAAGTTGGGTTGTTTGCCTTTGTTATTGAATTCTAAGTGTTCTTTGTGTATTCTGAATAAAGTCTCTTATCAGATATATGATTTGAGAATATTTCCCATTCTGTGTGTTTTCTTTTTACTCTCTTGATGGTATCCTTTAACACACAAAAGTTTCTAATTTTGATGAAGTCCAATTCATCTATTTTTTTCTTTTGTTGTATATATTTTTTGTGTCATATCTAAGAAGCCATTGCCTAAGCCACAGTCATAAAGATGTATCTTTATGTTTTCTTATATGTATTTTATAGTTTTAGCTTTTGTATTTTTGGGTCTTTGATCCATTTTGATTTAATGTTTTTAGATTTAAAAAATTTAATTAAAAAATGGTCTGTCTTAGTCCATGTGTGCAGCTATAACAGAATAGCTGAAACTGAGTAATTTATGAAGATTAGAAATTTATTCTCTTACAGTTCTGAAGACTAGGAAGTCCAGGATAAAGGTACCAGCAGGTTCTGTCTCTGGTTCCTAAACGGCGCCTTGTTGCTCTTTGAGAGGAGGAAGATTGCGCCCCCTTGTGGGAGAATAGCAGAAGAGAGAACCTACTCCTGAAAGCCTTTGCATGCGGACATTGATCCGCTTACGAGGGTGGGACCCTCAGGCCCTAAATATCTTTCACTGGGCCCACCTTCGAGCACTGGTGTATTTAGGACTAAATTTCCAACATATAAATAAATTTGGGGGGACATGTGGGTATCCTGTTGTCCCAGTAAACACAAAGCTATGTTTGTTTATCTTTTATTTTCATATTCATTCATATTCTTGAGTGGAAGATCTATGATAACTTTATATCAAAAACATAAAATAACAATGATATATATGAATAGAAGTAGAAAGTCAGGACCAGGAAATGAATACATGCCAATGATAGTGGCCAGCATAGTTATTACACTATGCTTGAACATCAAATTTGGCTCTAATTTTTTTTTTTTTTTTGGAGACAGAGTCTCGCTTTGTTGCCCAGGCTAAAGTGAGTGCCATGGCTCAGCCTAGCTCACAGCAACCTCAAACTTTCCTACCTCAGCCTCCCAAGTAGCTGGGACTACAGGCATGCGCCACCATGCCCGGCTAATTTTTTGTATATATTTCTTTCTATTTATAGTAGAGATGGGGTCTCGCTCTTGCTCAGGCTGGTTTTGAACTCCTGACCTTGAGCAATCCGCCCGCCTCGGCCTCCCAAGAGCTAGGATTACAGGCGTGAGCCACAGCGCCCGGCCTAATTTTTTTTTTTTTTTTAGAGACAGGGTCTCGCTCTGTGGCTCAGGATGGGGTGCAGTGGTGCAGTCATAGCTCACTGTAGCCTCAAACTCCTGGGCTCAAGTGAACCTCCTGTCTTGGCCCCCCCAACATGCTAGGATTACAAGCATGAGCCACCACTCCTGGCCTCAGAGTAGTTTCCTTATGTCAATAATTCATTTAAACTGCATTTTTAACCATCTGATTATGAAAGCAATATTCAGATTCTAAAATATTTTTTGGCAATAATTATTTGGAAAAATTTAAGAGAGAAAGAGATTTTTTCCATTTACTCAAGTTCCTTACAGATCAGAAAAAACAAAACAAATCCCAAAAAGTCAACCCAAGTTTAAAATGCTACTTCATTGCAAGAAACAACATTTATAGAACTAAACTCTTAATAAACTTTACACAGTGCCTGTTACTTCCTTCAGTAATGAAACAGCCCCAAACCAAATCATAAAGTGGATATAATTTGTCTTCAGTGTCTCCTCCCTCCTCTCTTTCTGTGCCTTCCCTAAGAAGCAAAAACTTTCCCAGCAACCCCTCACCTTCCTGCCACTTCTCTTTGGAGATATTGAATTACCTTTTAAATTGAATTACCTTTTAAATTGATCTGATAAATTAATCACTGTTTATGTTTTTTTTTTTTTTTTTTTTTTTTTTTTTTGAGACAGGAGTCTCACTTTGTTGCCAGGCTAAATGAGTGCCGTGGCGTCAGCCTGGCTCACAGCAACCTCAATCTCCGGGGCTCAGCGATCCTCCTGCCTCAGCCTCCCGAGTAGCTGGGACTACAGGCATGCGCCACCCATGCCCAGCTAATTTTTTTGTATATATATTTTTAGTTGGTCAATTAATTTATTTCTATTTTTGGTAGAGACGGGGTCTCGCTCAGGCTGGTTTCGAACTCCTGACCTTGAGCAATCTGCCCGTCTCAGCCTCCCAAAGTGCTAGGATTACAGGCGTGAGCCACCACGCCCAGCCACTGTTTATGTTTTAACAAGTGTAGGTTTCTCAATATATTTCCTAATAAAATTACACTCTGGGAATTTTTTGAAATAGCATCCTTTGAAATGCAAGAATCTACTAAGAGTGATTTTAAGGACTCTGGCAGCTTTGTGATCAGGGTATTTTGGAACAGACAGTTACCCAATAGATCTCACCACATAGACACTTGGTTGGCAGCCTAGTCCCTCATATAAGCATGACTGGCCTGCCCCTATAAAACACTTTCCCTGTGATTACAGAGGTGAATGACAATTCCCCTTTCTGATAGTAAAACTTTGTTACACATAAAATTTGAAATAGTATAAAATAAATTCCTGGTATAAAATAAATAGTATAAAATACTATACTATAGTATTTTAAATACTATACTATATACTATATAAAATACTCTACTATAAATAGTATAAAATAAATTCCAGCATGACTGGCCTGCCCCTATAAAACACTTTCCCTGTGATTACAGAGGTGAATGAGAATTCCCCTTTCTGGTATAAAACTTTGTTACACATAAAATTTAAAATAGTATAAAATAAATTCCTTCAATGTGAGAGCCAGACCATAGAATGCTGAAATCTGTGCTTTTTCTTTTTCAGTCAGCAAACATCCCTCTCACAATTTTTTTTAAACTAGAATATCTTTAAAAATTATCATTTGGTGCATGAATGGGTACTTACTGAACACCTTCTATGTGTCAGACACTGTGCTCTGTAGTTTCAAATGTTACATCCATTCCTCGTTTTTATAAAGCCAACCCAGTGTTTACAATAAAGATGCTAAATTTCATATAAATATAAACATAATTGATGTATTGATATATCATATTCCTTGAGGTAAAAGACTACCTGCTCACTTTTTTATCCTTTGAGCCTAGTCCAGTGCCTGGCATTTAGTACATAAGCTCTCATTAAATCTTTGTTGAATATTTCTTTTTTCTTATTTTCTCTTTTTTCTTTTCTTTTTTTTTTAGAGATGTGGTCTTGCTCTGTTTCCCGGGCTGGAGTGCAGTGACCATAGCTCACTGCAGTCTCCAACTCCTGGGCTCAAGCAATCCTGTCTCAGCCTCCTGAGTAGCTGGGACTACAGGCACATGCCACCACACTCACCTAATTTTTCTACTTTTTGTAGAGATGGAGTCGTGCTCTTGCTCAGGCTGGTCTCAAACTCCAGGCCTCAATTGCTCCTCCTGCCTTAGCCTCCTACGTTGCTAGGATTACAAGCATGAGCCTTTGTGCCTGGCCCTTTGAATAATTCTTAAATAATTATTTGTCAAATAGATAGAACATTGTGGTTAGTACTTGATAAATCTATCTACTGATAGTAGTGGTGTTTTAAGAGACTACGGCAAAGTGGATTAATGTGTGAACTTGACCTCCTCCAACAATTATATATTAATAGGCATTCAATAAATATTTAATTAAATGAGAAATTAGGCTGGGCATGGTGACTAATCCCTGTAATCCCAGTGACCAGAGACTCTACTTCCCTAGTCCCTGAGCTTGAGATTTACTCATGCTCTAGTTTTTCCCCAGAATGTGGATATTTGATTCCCGTAGTCTAGGACTCTTGGAGTATCCATAGTAATCAGTGCACAGAATTATTTATTTTTTTTACAAGAGAATTGGTTTGTATTTTGACATATCCATCCATCTAGCCATTTGATTCTCAAACAATTACATTAAATCATTCTGCATTTGTATTAATGTTCTTTAGCTGAATTACAACATAAATTTTTAATGTTTTAAAAGATTTGCCTGAGATGGGTGGAGGCGTGTGCTAACTAATTAGGAGAACCAAACGAGAAGCCTCATCTATAGAAATATAAAGCATGAGAAGTTAAAAAGAAAATTTAAGACTCACTGTTTAGCAGGAAAGAACTATACAATTATTTTACCCCCAAAGGAATGCCAGTTCTTACAAAATAAATAAAATAAAAGATTTACTATGGACTTTTAACCTAAAGATGAAGAAAATATGGTTAGTCAATAATAGTAAACGGTTCATGCAATGTAAGGAAAGCAATATAGCACTAAAAGGGGAACTTGACTAATCCACCTCTTTCATTGACTCAAAGTGACCAGCCACCCCCTGTGCGCTGGCGAACCTGGCTGGCCCTGCGTCCCGGCTAGTGGGCAACACTTGGTCAGTGCACCTGCGCTCCACGCCTAGGCCTAGGAGCCTGGAGCTGGGGCCGCTTCCGGCGTTGGTTTCCTGGGAATGGCCTTGCTTGCTTGGGTCGTTCAGCCCACCCACTTCATTGCCTGAGACAGTTGGGGGCCTGCTGGAATAAGGTGCAGGTCACTCAAAGTCCCCCAGGGCTGTCGCAGGTGACAACCCGGTCATGCTGTGAGGAAACCTACCATGTAAATGATGCTGGAGGTAGAAAGCATGCCGCCTATGACACCAAAGAGTTTCATGTCCTGCATAGGACATGAAATGACAAGATCAGTGCTGAATTCAGCTTCTTCTAGAAGATGAGGAAGATTTATCCTTGGTTCCTCTGTCGAAGCTGCCGCTTCTTCATCTTTTGGAAGAAGTAGGGCTGGCTTACTTCTTAAAGGGTTTTGCTCCAACACAGAACTGTCTATCACAGTTTGGCTAATCAAAGACTTTAACAAAAACTGGCGGCAGTGAAATCCACTATGGTCTGAAACAAGCAAGGATGCCCAGTGTTGAGTAGAAGATAGTTCATCAAGAAGAATCTTGACATCTAGCTTGGCCACGTGCTGTAAAACCCAGATGCGATGGGACCAGGCATTATAGTTGCTTGGGTATCTCCCTGCTGCTTCACCACAGACCTTCATCTCTTCTTGTATTAGCCAAAGTGTCCTTTCTGTAGGAATTGTTCCCAAGTTTCCTTTGGTTACAAAGGAAGGCAAGGAGGTTTCCTGAATTAACTGTTGTAACACCCATCTCCTGTGAATCCATGTTTCTGGACTCTTTGGAAACTTAGTTAAGACCAATTTTCCCAGATGTAAATCTTTAATTGGATTTAAAGTGCCAGAGAGGATCAGCTCTTTCCTCACATTCCATGCAGTGGTAAAGTCTGGGCTTAGAAGCAGCAGGGTGCATGTGATGTCTGTTGGTTCATCTCTGTTCAGCCATTGTTTTCTTGTTCTGTACAAAAGGAGATTGTAGGGGACTGACATATATTTTCCTAGTTTAAGAATTAAATTTAGTGGGTGATGTACGTGTTCTGCCCAGAGCGTTTGAAAGTAATGTGTTCCGGACAGGGTCCTTGTGACAAACATGGTTGCTGCCTAGAAGCATAACAATAGACCTGAGTTTCTGCATTGAGGCAAGAGCTGCCCAGCCCCACGATAAGTGGAGGCCTGGAGGCCACACAATAAGCACATTGTTCTTTTGATTGTTGCTTAATCCCATAAGATGGCTGGTTAGTCAATGATGGGTAAGACGCTTCAAAGGGAGGGGCAACCTAAGCCATGCACAGCTGCAGGGGATCAGGTTAAGAGGAACAGAGCACAAAAAATGCCCCCTGTGGCGGCCTTGCCCAACCTTGCTAATCTCAGTCTGTGATCTATGCCTGGCACCTTGAGCAACTCCCTGGAAACCTTGATTCAGGAGACATCTGTGTCCTTAGGCTACATGTTCTGGAATTTATGGCTATGGCTGCCACGCCTGGGTGGGCATGTACGAGGAACTTTGATTTTGGGGGTATAAAAATAAAACGACTGGTGCATTATGCACTGTAGTCTTGTAACCTCTTTGTGTGTGTCTTATTGTGTTCTGTGTTCATCCTCCGTCCTGCAAATGGGCCACGACAGGAGCTTGTTGTGGACATACGGCAAAAGGAACCTGACACACCAGCTCTCCACACCAAGTTTGTTTTCAACCAGGACTATGGGACTCCGGTTATACCTAGCTGCAGGACATGTGATCAGGCCAATTCCATCTATGTGTAGGTTCCTCCTGAATGTGCTGGTGATGTCCTTCACTACCCACTGTGCCGCTGCTCTCGGCCATGTTTCAGAATTTTTTTCTTAAAAAGTTATATTTATTTATTTTGGGGGTCTCACTCTGTCACCCAGGCTGAAGTACTGTGGCTTTTTTTTTTTTTTTTTGGTAGAGATGGGGTTCTCACTATGTTGCCCAGACTGGTCTCAAACTCCTAGACTCAAGATATCCTCCTGCCTCAGCCTCTTAAAGTGCTAGGATTACAGGTGTGAGCCACCATGCCAAGCTAAATGCACAGAATTTCTTGCTGTTTTCATGATGTAGAATTCTGGCAGCAAAATGGCAGCTGGGCTGTGCAGAGTGCTGGGCTGGTCCTCTGTTCTGGCTTCTGCCCAGACACTGGCAGAACATCACTGCGTCTCCCCCATTCTCATACATGGCTACCTTATGGACCACAGCTGGCCTTGGACCCCAATCAAGATATGCTCAGAAATTTGCCACTTCATGGACCCAGGGTTCTGGCTAATTTCTCTGTTTTCCTCTTAGAAGCCTGGTAGGTTACTAGTTGCTTTTGGCTTAAGGGCACTTTCAAATTTAGCTCCCAAAAGAAAGATATACTGATTTTCTAGCCTGAATATCCAGTCAAACCTTCTTCATCTTTAGAGCCATGGCCATCCCCTAAGTCTTTGGTCCCCATAGAAAGGTAGGAACAGCTTCTTGTTTACATTTATGAATGCTCCTTCTCACGAATTCCTTCCTTCCTGCCATGAGGTTCAAAGAATACATAGTAAGTACCTTTTAGGCAGCCAAGGAGAGAAGATCTAGCTTGCATGTGGCCAGCCCCCACACTGCCCATTTTCTAATATCTTGTGAGCATTCCGGCCTTTGCCTCCTCTTCCTCTGGGATCCTTTGCCACCTACGTGAAGGGAGGGAGAGCTCATATCAGCTTTGGGTTCCTCCTTTTCCTGGGCTTGCCCTTGTTTCCTGGACATTTCCAAACATTCCTTGGTTTTCATGGTTCTCCTTTGTGCAGCCCACTATAAAAACCCATCTTTTTCAGAGCAAATAATATGCATAGCTGTTAGGTTTGTTCCAGGTGGGAACCCAAGAGTATGTACGGGACAGGTGCGGTTAATAGAAAACTGAGGTTGGTAAAACAATAGCCGCGCAGCCAGCATGCCTATCTCCCCTGATAAGGACAAACTACCCCTCCCTTATCTCTACAGGATGAGTCCCAGAAGTTGGTTACCGCAGTGGCTATTCTGGCCAAGGTACTCATTCCGCCCTGAGAAATCCTTTATACAACCAAGGCTCTCCCCTCCCTCGGTGAGGACTCCCTCCACCCCTCTGCACCAGATGACCAAAATAGACAGTATTTTGCTACACATGAGGCTTCACGTGTCTCTCTCTTGGCTCCGGACCTAACAATAGCCATAGCTAGATAGTTCCTTCTGGCTTTAAGAGGCTTTGGTGATTATCCCCAAACAAAATCTGGGCTGTGGCTGGCCCGGTGGCTCCCACCTGTTATCCTAGCACTCTGGGAGGCCGAGGCAGGCAGGATCGCTCAAGGTCAGGAGTTCAAGACCAGCCTGAGCAAGAGCGGGACCCTGTTTCTACTAAAAATAGAAAGAAATTAATTGTCCAACTAAAAATATATAGAAAAAATTAACCGGACATGGTTAACCGGTGCATGCCTGTAGTCCCAGCTACTCAGGAGGCTGAGGCAGGAGGATCAATTGAGCCCAGGAGTTTGAGGTTGCTGTGAGCTAAGCTGACATCACGGCACTCTAGCCCAGGCAACACGGTGAGACTCTGTCTCAAAAAAAAAAAAAAAAATCTGGGTTGTAATTAACATTCCCAATTGGCTAAGACCTGAAGGTGGGGCTTAATGGCTTTTTCAAAAGGATTAGTTCTTCTCTTCCTCCTTCTAAATTAGTCTCCTTAAATCCAAAATTTTGGAGGCAGATTTTACAGCTTTAGCCTACAGGTCTGCCTTCATTAAGAGCAGTGTCTAGCCAGGGGAGGCGGCTCGCGCCTGCAATCCTAGCACTCTGAGGAGGGAGGATAACTTGAGTTTAGGAGTTCTAGACCAGCCTCAGCAAGAGTGATACCTTGTCTCTACTAAAAAAGTATAAAGAAATTAGCCAAGCTAGAAAAAATTAGCTGGGTGTGGTGGTGCATGCCTGTAGTCCCAGCTACTCGGGAGGCTGAGGCAGGAGGATTGCTTGAGTCCAGGAGTTTGAGGTTGCTGTGAGCTAGGCTGACGCCATGGCACTCTAGCCCTGGCAACAGAGTGAGACTCTGTCTCAAAAAAAAAAAAAAAAAAAAAAGGCCGGGCGCTGTGGCTCACGCCTGTAATCCTAGCTCTTGGGAGGCCGAGGCGGGCGGATTGCTCAAGGTCAGGAGTTCAAAACCAGCCTGAGCAAGAGCGAGACCCCGTCTCTACTATAAATAGAAAGAAATTAATTGGCCAACTGATATATATATATAAAAAAAATTAGCCGGGCATGGTGGCGCATGCCTGTAGTCCCAGCTACTCGGGAGGCTGAGGCAGAAGGATCGCTCGAGCCCAGGAGTTTGAGGTTGCTGTGAGCTAGGCTGACGCCATGGAGACTCTGTCTCAAAAAAAAAAAAAAAAAAGAGCAATGTCTAATGACTTGATTTTTCTATAGCATCCATTGGGGATAGGTTTTTGGAGCAAAGCCTCTAAATGTATATGACGTCTTAAAGATTCAAAATTTGAGGATTCCTCTTTCTCTGGAGTCTAGTCTTAAAATTTTTTACCAGAGAGTTTTGATGATTCTCTATATTCTCAAAAGGGTTTTTTTGTTTGCTTTTTTTTTTTTTAGTTTTAAGGTCCAAAATCCTAAGCCACACAACAACATAGATGAATCTCAAAAGCATTTCTAAATGAAATCAGCCAGACTCACAGTTATGTGTCAATTTGACTGGACCATAGGTGACCAGGTATTTGGTTAAACGTTGTTCTGAGTGTGAGGTGAGGGTGTTTCTAGGTGAGATTGGCACGTGGCTGGGTGGACTGGGAAAGCAGATTTCTCTCCCCAGTGTGGATGTGCCTCTTCCGATCTGCCAGGCACCTCACGGCCCCGCCAAGTGGCACGAGCAGCCCCATTGCTTCTGTTTCTTTGGGGAACCCCGACTAATGCAGGACAAGTCTAAAAGCTATCGTAATTTCAGAGTGTTGATAAATGTATGAGTGAAAACAATATCTTGAGATACACTACAACTATAAAATGATATGAAAATATCCGTGACTTATTATAACCGTTACAAAGTCATAAGAACTGCTAATACTACTGTAGTTTGTTGCCCACTTTCACAAGTGAATGAAGGAAATGCTAAATTTCAGCTATAGGTTAGTGAAAATAAAAATATAATTTATTCCCCATCTTGTGAACATTGTTAATGCTCTACCTGAACCCCTCAGATCTCTTTTAGGGGCCCATCCCCTAGCCTTCTTTTGTCAGCTGTACCTGGAGACTCATTTTAGAGGGCTGCCCTTGGGCTACTGCAGCCCTTTGTCTACAGACTTAATCTGTGTATCTAAGTACCCAAAGGCAGCCCCTAGCAGATGACTGACTGGTAAAGTTGTGTGAAAATCCAGCTTCTTTGCCTTAAGTGGGCACAAAGATGAGTTATAACTTCTGCTCCAGAGACCCCTGTTGGATCAAACTGAGGTTGGGACTTTGAAATTGCACTCTATCATTATTTTGTTTTTCCCTCATCCCCGGTTACTCCTTAGTATCTTTCTTACACGTGGATCCTCATCTCAAGGTCCGCTTCCAGGGAAGCTTACTTGATACACCATCCACGTTCACAGAGGCCCCTAGTTCAAGAATCCCAGCTCTAGGGGAAGTGGTTGGAAAGAGTTTGAGTGCTAGTGTGTTTGGGGTCTGTCTGCTCTCAGCAAATTATAAGAGAGCAGTGAGCCTAGGCTAGAATTGAGCTGGGCTTAATTCAAGCAGAGATCAAAAAGGGTAAAGAAAACCCAGAGATCATGGGGTTCACAGGGCTGGAAAATCCTACTTCTTCTCGATCCCAAATATTAAGGGATAAGATCGGAAAAACCTTGAGTGACAAAGACTCAGTAAGACATCTAAGTAAACAAAATGACATGGCCATGTAGCAATTAGATTAAGGGTGATCCCTTACCTGGGAAGCCATAAGGTAACCACCTTTTAGGTGAAAAAGCATATCATGGGGATGAAGAAGCAAAGAAGTAAGACAGGCTTGACAGCTATATTTAGATATGGTTGCCAAATTTAGCAAATGAAAATATGGGACACCCAATATTTTATCTGGCCACTTTATGTCTTTTATTTATTTATTCATTCATTTATTTATTATTTGAGACAGAGTCTTACTGTGTTGCCCGGGCCAGAGTGACATGGCGTCAGCCTAGCTCACAGCAACTTCAAACTCCTGGGCTCAAGTGATCCTCCTGTGTCAGCCTCCTGAGTAGCTGGGACTACAGGCATGTGCCACCATGCCCGGCTAATTTTTTCTATATATATTTTTAGTTGGCCAATTAATTTCTTTCTATTTTTAGTAGAGATGGGGTCTCACTTTTGCTTAGGCTGGTTTCAAATTCCTGACCTCAAGCAATCCGCCCGCCTCAGCCTCTCAGAGTGCTAGGATTATAGGCGTGAGCCACTGCACCCGGCCTAACCTTATGTCTTTTAGAAGACAACTTTGGGAATAATTACTGGCACCTGAATCTTTCTGACAGTAAAGATCAGAAACATACCAAGTTTCTCAGGGAATTGTCTTGATAAAGAAACCACAAGCCTGACCATAAGAATTTTTGCCTACCTAGGAAACTTAAATATAACCCTCAAGCCTCCAAATTTGCCTAGGTAGGAGGCACACTATGAAAGCCTCCAGGACAACAAGCTCTTCAATGTCTACTGCAGATGTGGCCATAAAGAATAATGAATAAGGAAGAGCCTCTCAGAAGATGGAGACAGGCAGGAAGATTGCTTCAGGCTAGATGTTCAAGACCAGTTTGGGCAACACAGCAAGACCCCGTCTGT